TCAAACATTCAAAGCTGTAAATTTGTTATAGCTACACTTCTGTTAAAATCACGTTATGTACAATAGACAAGATATTGCATTTGGCATAATTACAACAATCTTGTTATTTAATTTACAGTACTGATTTTTGTGAATGTCATCATTTGGCATTCGCAACAAATCCCAGTCTCATAAAATGTGACCGTAAAAAGGAGAAAATAATCATACTCAAGTTAATTTGAGAATTAATAAGAAATAGAAAACGAATGAGGACACTGTATTGCTATCACATTTTCCACTAAAACGAAACAATATCTGGTCACTCCGCTGTATATTCGCCTGGGTTTCATTTGCAGAGCCCTACAGAATTGTAAACGTGGCAACATTTGGACAACAGATGAAATTGTGCATGCAGAAACATTTTGCAACCATGTGTTGGCGTCTATGCATGATAAATAATTATTCAAACCGGTTGTAGATGGTCGCTCTACCTGCATTTTGTACAGGTAAATGAAACATGAGGTGCAGTCCAGAGATGCCAATCCAGATTTGACTGGAACGCATGAGTTTAGATTATACGTGTGAACAGGAATGGCAGCCCTTATTGCCCAATGGCAGCTTGAGTCTCTGTAATGCCCTAGGGAGATCAAGTACCTTTCATATGAAGCTCTTTTGCCAGGCTATCACTTTGTCTCACTGTCTTTTAGACAGTACGGTAACGCAGTGCTGTAAAGTGGTCCGGTGCACCGTGAGTTGTACGGTGAAGTCTATTACAATGGATGTCTAACGCTCCATTTGCATCGTAATAAAGCATCTTCGAGTTCAAGACATCCATTTTCCTTACAGCCCACCTGTTCCTTTGGCACAACACTTGGCAAAACTCCACAAAAGTCCATCTCCATTTATATCGCGTGGGCATGTGCACTCTGTACGGAAACTTGTTGGGAATTTTTTCCACCACCTACACGGGTTCAAATCATTCAGACCCCAAACTCCTAAGAGATCTAAAGGAACTATCCATGCTGCAGGGCTCTGAAAGCCCCTATAGACTCGCCCACAACTGGTTTCTAATCATTCAGACCCCAAACTCCAAAGAAACTTATCAATGCTGTAGGACTCCAAAAGCCCATATACTGTAGACTCGCCCACAATTGCGTTCCAATTACATAAATGGGCTGAAGGTACAACTTCACATTAGTCAATGCAAAGGTGGCAGTTCATACAGTGAAACTTTTTTTTTTTTGATTCGACGAATCCATGAAAGCTCTTTGCATGTGGATTTTTAGTAATAAGAATAGAGACTACGGTAGCTTGGTCTTACAAAAGCAGCAACCTTTGTAAAGGCCTATTCACACCGAGTGCAAACTTCCTCTTTTTTTAAGTGACCCGTCGGACTGCAAATAAAACTGACTGAACAATGACATACATGCTTTTTTATTTACAGAGCCACCGCTGCTGATGCACAGTCTAGCACGTTGCTGGCACTTAGGCCTTTTAACCTCTGCACTGGAATTGGACATATGACTATTGTCGTCTTTGCACACCCCTTTTTGAAACACGAAAATGACATATGTAAGTAGTTCTAGTTTGTGAACCCTTTGTAATACAGACATAAACCCAGTCTCCTTTGAAAGTCCACTAATAAAATATGTGCATATATAATAAATGTGCATAAATATAAACCCACAGGGCACATGGAAATTTATGGAAATGGTACACAAAAAAATAAAAAATAAATACATATAATGCCAATGCAGGAAAGTGAATTTAATGCAAATCTGCAATAATCTTATAAAAAGAAAAAGAATAATCTTATTTTCTCAACACTTTATGGACTAATGTGCTAGTATTTTATTTTACCCCACATTCGGTGTGAATAGGCCTTTAGACCCAAAGTTAAATGCAATCCTGAACATATCAGGCTAACATTAATAAAGAGGACTTTTAGCACCTTTTGTCTAAATAAAAAGTACAAAGTACTTTTAATCGTGCATTTCTCATTGATAAAAAGACTCTTAAGGCAAATATGTCTTGTATCAACCACTATAAATACACATTAGCATTGATAAATCTATGAAAAATCTGAGAAAATAGCACGGTACTAAGTTCTGTTTAGAGTTAATTAAGGTGCTAGGTTAATTTGACAAGCAAATTTATAATTTCTGACCTAAAAAGTGCATAAAATGCAGTCATACCCCTGTATCCCCTCTCTCACTCTAAATACATAT